CGTTGCTATTATCGAATAAGAAACTATCGCGTAAGAAAATTAAAAAAAAAACGAAACACTCTACTCTCACCTTTTGACTTTCTTTCTAATTCAGAGAAATTTCTTTAAGAAATCTGTTCAAAGTTAATTTCTACGTCGTAACATACAATTTTAAATGGTCAAAGTTAACTTTAATCAAATTGTATACACGTATATTCCCCAAAAAGTTCTGATCCACGAAACTGTTCCAAGACCCGCCGAACAAGACGTGTACTGATCAAACAACCATATTGCAAGAAAACTAGAAACATTAGGGCATCAATGCAGCCCGATCTCGGCACAGCGCATTACTGAAATCTGACAAGAGAACGTTTCGGCTCTGTATAATTATGTCGATGTCATATAATTATATATTGATATGGTCTGTATACGATGTCATATAGTTATACTGTAACTACTGCCATTGACTAATCTACGTTGAAGCTGAAATCTTCGAAATTGCCGTAAGAATCGAGGAAACGTAAATAGAAGAGCTGGTTTTAATCGGGCAAGTGTGTAAACCAGAGGCTATAAATCCAACTAAGAGTACGCTGGCCATACTGCAACTCGTGATTTAATAATCCGGCCATCATCCGATAATGGGAATTACTCCCTTCTCATCCGAAACACAAATTCGGTTGTATAACATTAATTTCTGGCGCAGATAGCGTGTAGAAATTTCATTGCTCGTGTGTTACGCCGTTGGTTGAATTTACAATTTGCCGATCTAAACAGCGTGCGATGTTATTGCAAATAAGCCAGGGTCTGTCCATACTTGGTCGTGATTTCAATGACCTCTCTTTCAGATCGACACGTGAAAAATATAAACATGGCCGTGAGCATACGAATGACCAACCAAGATTCAACTTAAACACAATTTATTGATAAAAAGAAGAGAAACAAAATACTGAGGATACGCTTTTTCTTCTCGATTTCTCATTTCTAACGATTGATTAATCGCTCTGACTCTATCGGAATCTCGGAATTTTGTTTCTTTGTGTACAGATCTTCTGTTCTCAGTTGCAGTATGCTCATGTAATTACTGATTCTCGTTTAGTCTCAGACAATTGTGGAAAGAAATTAAGGAACTAAATCTGAAGAACTCGAATTTAAATTGCAATTGGCAGGCAGATCGTCATCTAAATATATTTCTTCATACCGATGAAACAGTCTTCTATTTGCGAAATGTACAAACGTTCTATTCTCAATTATCACAATATACTTATTGAAGTGGTGAAACAACCCTTCAGTCCATCTCGTACACTACGTTACGATCAGTTTCTGACTCAAAGCAGAGAGCCAAAAGCGTCATAGAAAAAAATATAACAACCTCCAAAAAATTCTGATCGTAGGTGACAATATCGTCCTCTATTTACGAAAAATACGAATCTCCTATTTTTAATTACAACAACGTTAAAACAATCCTTTAGTCCATCTCGTGCACCGTGGCGCGATTTCATTGACTCAGAGCGGAGAGCCATCGAAGAGCGTGGCAGCAACGTGCGCGACAAACTCTGGAAAATTCAAATAACACGAGTCGCGGGTAATATCGAAAAGCCAGCAAAGTCGTCTGTATGGTCAGTCATCGACACGGTTCGGACGCATGTTTCGGCCGCAACGACCGAACATATCGTACTTCAGTCGTGTGTTTGCACAAACCAGCGTGCGAGCGGCCACCGATACACGTGTATCGTTCAGGACGTCGCGCGTCGATCGCGGAAATCTGGCCGGCGACGCTTATTGCGTCAATCGAACGGAAATTAACCGGTCACCGGCGACCGCGTTTTGCCCGGGTGTATCGAGTTCGCGCGATTTCGTTCTTTCGCTGCGGCGCGCGTCCGTTTTACGCGACGCGTCTCGCACGGTTATGATAAACACCTGGCGATCCCCTGATTTTCATACAGCCGGGAGCACGTTCAACCGTGCCCGCGTGAAACGCTCGAAGGGGGAGGGGAGGGGCGGTAAAATTTACGAGAGACGACGAATCCGACGGATTTCAGGATTTATGGAGATTGTATTTAGTTATTGAATTCGTTTCGACGCGCCCGGCCCGCCGTTGTAAACCAGCGCGGCGGCCCTTCGTTCGATCGGTCCTCGCAGCGAGGACGTTTCGATCGTATTTTTCGTTGACTCGCTTGTTTCAAGCGAGCGTTTCGTTTCGCGTAAGCGTTTTCGTGTATGGATAGCTCTTTGTTTTTTTTCTTTTTTTTTTTTTTTTTGTTATTTGTACACGTCATTTTCGCGGATCGAATGTTTAAACGGATTTAGGAGTTTCCTGTTTTTCCTTTCATTGTACAATTACAGGGTTTAGTAGCGCGAATTCGTTTACGAGGGACACGTGCGCGCGAGTTTTAATCTTTTGACAATGTGCCGCGAATAGTGAATTGTTCTCGGCCGTTCAAATTATCTTCTGCAATTCGGATCCTGCTTTCTCTTTTGGAAGTAATGCTCGTTTATTCTGTTCGTTCAAATTTATTTATTACATTTTCAAAATCAACGTTGCCACGCAACATTCGAGAACACGAGGATTAAACACGTGGACGATTACATGTAAATTATATATTAGTTCTTCGTCGAGAAACACATCTGCCTTTAATTTCATGGTATATGTTTGAAACCATATTTCATCCTTAATACACGCGCGAAACAACGCTTTGACATTTGGTGAACTCAGCTGCTGTACGGTTCATCCAATTTTACTGAGTAAAAATAAAAAAAAAAAGATAAGAAAAAAAACGAATTAAAAAAATGTCAAATATATATATTCCGACCGATGACTGCGTATAAAAATCCGATAAGGACATTTAAAAGCGAGCTAGCACGTTATACCCTCGTTATTTAATATACACGCGGAAATTGTGCGAGAGTTGGAAATGTTTCTCGTCGAGCATGGCGTGTGTCGCGTTTTTATTTTGACCGGCGCATTTATTAAGTCCGAAAATCTGCCGTTTGCCCGTCAGATAGTTTTACCCGATTGCCGAGCAAGCACGTTCTGTGAATTCCGCTAATTGCTGGCGCTGATTGGCGGAAATCCAACGTGTCCAGCCGTACAGAGTGAATGCTGGTCATTAACACGTTTAAAAGTCCTCGAAATGTTCGAGTTCCACTGATACTCGTCTTCCGGTGGGCGTCAGCCGGGATTCTCAAAATGTCTGGCGGCGATCGTCGAAAACCGCGCGCGGAATTCGAAATTTCGGCAAATTCTTTCGGCGAGGTGTAATTAAAATTTTCACTCCGTCGGAGACAGAGCTCGCTAATTTGATCTCGTTCCTTTCCTTCTCTCGTTTTTCTTTTTTTTTTTCTCTCTTCTACGTCGCTCATTTCTGCCTTCAAAACATCGATTTCTCCGTAAATATTAACGCCGAGCGTTATATTTCCGCTTTTCGCAGTCTTATCCTTTATCCCTTACATTCAGATTTTGACGCGAACGACCGGTCTACGACGGTGTCGTTTGTATAACAATTTAATTAAGCAAAGTTCTCTTTAATCAAGACAGATATTCTCTTTTCCAACTAATGAAAAATATCAATCATGTTCGCTTTAGCAACGGTTATTCATTCGAACTCTTTGATCATCGACTGTTAAAGTATACTTTTATCACCGATAAAAGTATTCGTCCTCGACACTTTGTACAAATATTGTTGCGCATATACTTCTGAAATTTCGTTAGCATTGTAACAGCATTCGATCATCGTGATTGCATTTCAAACGAGACTTTAAAGGATACTGGAAATACACGTGGTTGTGCCAAATGTACTAGAATAGAGAATTATCCTTCAGATTAATAAGTTTCTCTATTTCTGATACTTATTTTGCTCAAGATGGAACGTACGTTCGCACTAAATACCTGCGACCTTTACACATGTTTTTGTATTAAATTTCAATTCTTCTAATATATTACAAATATAGTAATCACATGTCGTAGTGATAATTAAATTTTAAAATGTTTTATGTAATATCGACAATATCCTTTAATTTTCTTAAATTAATAATATAATCTTCTTAAAAGTTTACGGCTCCCTAAAAAATTCGCATATTTACTGTACAAGACTTTCAAGTGCGGTATTGTGGATATTTGAAAATTGAAAATTACATCTTTTATGTACACATTGGAAAGGTGTAAAAGTATCTCGCGCTTCACTAATTCTCGGTCGTGAGGGAAACACTGCACAGCCGACGAACCTCGTATTGAAGACGTGCATAATACGAAAACAATGGAAGTGACTATCATTTTGTCGTTTGCCATCAGTCGCGTTTAAGATGCGATCTTTGATTCATTCAATTAGAACGCTAACGGGAACGGAGGAAATTAAAACTCGCCGGAGGATAGAGATGGACTTGTAGATTCCTCGAGAAGATATCGACAAAGAGAGTTTTACCAGAACTTCAGTGAAAGAGGTCTGGCGTTGGTCAGACCTCATCGAGATTCCACGTTTCGGCGCTTGCATTTGTTGGCGATCACTCGATTTTATAAAAATTCTGCTCTTTTGAAGAGGCTCTCGAACGGACTCGAGTCCTTGTCCGCCTATAGCGGGAAGTTGAAACGTAACGTAGAATTTTTTCCGCGGGATCGACTTCGACTTTTCAAAAGGGCGAGACGCGCCACTCTGTATTGAAATAGGACGCAACGTCGGGAAACTTTACAATTTCCCGACGTGAAGCAGACGATAAACGTTGCACTTTGGTCAACGTTCTGTATATATTTTCCGTCGAATGCATGTTGCTTTATCGGTTCCTCGATTCGCTAAGCTGAAATAAATCGAAAATGGACGCACGCCGCGGCTAGAGCGTTCCCGTCGAATATCGAACGATTGAAATGCATGAAATAGAGAATCAGAGGTAAATGTCGATCGATATTTTAACACTGGTAGCTAATGTTCTTTCTTCTTTTTCTTCCCTTTTTGTATTGAATAAATGTCTTTTTTTTATGTATAAAAACGTGAAATCTTGTATGGAATACTTTTATATTTTATTAATATTAGTTCTATAGGGTCTTATCGTCCCATAAAAAAATTTTAACATTTTTACTAAAATTTTAAATTTATAAAATAAATATAAGACAGTATATATTTCATTAATCCTTTCATTCTAGATTTCATTTAAAAATCAATTGATTATGCTACCTTTGTACAGCCAGTTATACTGCAGCCATTTAATTTAGTCATTGGGCAGATTGACTTAAAATTATTTTCAATAAGACATGTTTTTGATAAACAAGTGACTATATTTATTTTGCCTAGTTCCTTATATTTATATTTTTATAATTAAGTATAATTTACATAATAAATTATTAATATTATTACTAATTTTATTTATATTTTATTTTAATGAAAATCTTGTATACTTTTGTATTTTATTCTTTTTTTACACTCGGTGTTCCACGAGCTTGCAGAAATTTCTACAGAAATACAGTTTTCTTGCAAGTTTCTAACATTTTGTCATTCGATTCAACCTGCAACACTCTGAATAAATATTTATTAGACAAACAAGAGATTATATAAATTACATTTCTGTACACTTGCACAGTGCTGGACGGAAGAAAGTTCAAAATTATACACGTACGTGAGAATCAGTAAATTTTTCTACTACATTTTTTGTCGATTCTGAGATGTACGTCACACTTAGACTATAATTTCTACAGAAATCAATTTAATCTATCAAGTTAGTCTATCGCAACGAGTGCCCTATTATGAAAACTTTATTTATTTTTGCACATGGTGCACTTCTTTTGCAATTTTGCATTTTTAAATTTCCCGCAAATGTATCCGCAGTCAAATTACGTCCACTACGAATTGTTACAGTGGCATTTGTCCAGCACCGTGCGGAAAGAAACGAGACTCAGGCAAGATCATTTTCTTCTTCGCCTTTTCTTATTCACCGATCGAATAAAAAGTAACTTCCCGGTCACGATGAAAGCGGGTAATCGTCTTAAACGAATCCGAGATCGACGAAACGTGAACGTGAACGTCCTTGTCCCATGAAAATTTCACGTGAACGGGCGCAAACGTCAAGTTTCAGATCCGACCGAAGACTTTTCCCGGGCAACAAAGTGCCGCCGATGTTCCCTCGATCGGATAACCGTGTTTCCTCGGATCCCCCCGACCGATTCCAAGGATAGGAGACGCGATTATTCGAATGTGGAGCAGTAGGTTGAGCGAGGGGAGGGGAAACGATCTCTCGAGTCTCGGGGCTGGAATTGGTAGCGAGTTCGAACTGAATCGTGAAACTCGAATACTTCCAAGGGGAGGATGTAAAGAATGGGTAATCGAGACGGGGCACGCGTTATCGATCGATCTCTCGGAGGCATGCTCTGGATCGTCTTCGTCTTGAAAAAAGGAACGGCTCGATTGAAGGTGTATCCAACAATGCCCGGGGACAACCTACATAGATGTTATCCTCCCCGAAGAATCGGTAAATCCTTGCTTAACGACGAACGACTTGGCGGACTTTACAGTTTCCGGCACTTTTCCCCGTGTAACACGTTCTCTTCCGTGCCCTCCGGGGGGTTGCTTGCTTACCGTTCCACTTTTTCTCCTCTCCTTAGTCGAGAGAGTTGAAAACGGTATTTTACGTTTCCAGTATCACGGCGAAATTTGTCTGTCCCTTCTGTGAAACTTCGAGACAACACTCTGTTAGAAGATATGCATCTGGTGGAGCTTTCTCGTATCTTGCCGAATCACAAAGTATTTTTAATAGCCCGTATTACAACTTTCATACTTTACGTTTTTCTTGCGACGGATAACCGTGGATAACTCACGGCCGCTATAATAAAACTAAAATTGTATTTTCTTCTATTATTAAGTCAGAAGTATGTACGTTTCCTGAGACAAAGTGATCACTCTGTTTAGTAAGAATACGCTGAATCTCGCTGTCCTCGGCGAGAGAAAAGAACACGGAATGATTTAATTAATAATTCTGCTTCGAATTTCATTTATTCGCTGGTTGTACATCACCCGAAACTGCGTTGTTTCGACGTTCCCTTGACGATGCGCCGCGCCAGGTTTGAGAATCTTCGTTGCCCGACAGACTCGAAGGCGTCGGCAGTGTTCGGTCGTCCCAGGAGATCGAACGGTAGCTAGCAACCCGTCAGAATTCATTAACTCGCTCGTCCAGTGTCGTGTTTTTCCCTCACCACGGAGAAACGCGTCGCGAAAAACTGTCAATAATATCACGTCTGATTGGCCGATGACGCGTAAAGAATCCTGCGGGATCGTCAAAACAGAAGTCCGACTGAAAAGGAAGCAAGCGAGTCGAAAAAAAAAAAAAAGAGGAGGAAGGTGAAAAGAAAAGGCTGACTACTCGGACGAATCAGGGTGGGGGTAGGGGGAATGAGAGTGGTTTGCGAAAGGCAGGGAAGGAAACGGAATAAAATTTGCATTGGAAAATCCTTTCGTTTGGCTGGATCCCCTCGCGTATTCCTGGCCCGTTTCTCAGTCTGTCTCGGTCCCGCGGTAGGGGTCAGGAACGTCGGACTCGTCTGCATACGACGTAATGACGGTGCTCGACGTCCCGTGAACGGAAGGAGGAAAATCCATTGGACGGAAGCCGGACCTCGCTTCCGCATCGTAGAGCCTGTTTCGTGTCCCGTAGGCTAGTTTGCCTTGCACGGGCTATCGAACCGACACAAAAGCTACAACGGGCACTACCCGGTCGCTCCCGGTTTGGGTCCACCCTGTGGAACCCATTCACCGATATCGTTTCTACCCTCCTTTCGTTTCTTTATCGTGTTTGCCCACGTTGTTTTCAGTACGAGCTTATAACAGGTGGACTCGGCGACGGGAGGTTAATCGTCCCGTTTCGCGACTTTATTTCTCATTTCTTCTTCTTCTTCTTCTTCTTTTTCGGCTGTCAGAGAAAGTTGCATTCTGTGGATTGCTGATTTGGAGAGTTGGAGACGCACGTAACGTACACAAACGCAAATAATACAGAGAAACAAATAAAACATTTAAACTGTGATATCAGTCGATAAATAAGTTTCGTTCTTTTTAATTATCTTCATAAAAATATTCTTCTATTTATTTTTCAATTTGTAAAATAATTGTTTAAGTAATTAAATATTTTAATATAAATATAAATATTTTAATTTGTTCAAATAATTATCTTCTATACATTTTTTAAAATTCTACTATCAAAAATCCGAATTTGCGCGTGAAAATTCGCGATTTGATAGTTCGCATTTACAATTGTGGATAGGCAATCTTTGCGAAGATCGAAGACAGAGTCCCCGACACGAGGCGAAGCTCGTTGAAAATAGGGTACCAGTGTGCAGGGAATTTCCACAACTGAGTTTCTTTCTTTCGCAAATATCGTTCTCGCGTTTTTCACTGGTAATTCAAGTACTTAAAGACCCTGGTCCCCTTCCGAAATACTGAAAAACTCGTATACCGCGAGCGAAATCGCGGACCCACGCCGGGAACGATGAGTTTTCCGCGCGGCATTAAATTAAAATTAAACAGGCTCTTTGCATTTAGGTAAAACTTAGCGAGGTTCCGGTCGGCGAGGGAAGTTTTTTGGTATTCACGAAGAGTACTTGTTAGATGAATTGCTCCGGGGGGAAATTGCTCACAATTCGACGAATCTCGCGCAGATTATTCTGGCGGCCATGTTACTCCAGGAAGCGGAGACTCGGTCGTGTTATTCAGACTTCCGGCGAGATTGTGATTCGATAGAAACTCGAGGGCGCCTTGAGTGACCGGAAACGACGTTTGTTTTTAACGTTTATTACGATGGGACGTCGAATGAACTCGATTCTTCGCCGGGCAACGAATTGTTGACCCAATTTCGTTTTACACCGGACGGGACGCGGCGTTTCGCCGGTTCTTTAGCTTTCGTTCGTGATTGCTGTTTCTCCATTTTGTCGCGTGGCACAATGGTACAAAGCGTGGGCTGTTCAGAGGCCGACGTTTGTTTGTTTAAAATTTATTCCGACGGTTGTCTATTAACGGAAGATTTATTTCACCTCGTAGCTCTCTGCGTTTCTTCATTTTCTTCCCTTTTATGCCCTCCCTTCTTCCCTATGTGACAAATCGCCTTGAACTGTCGACCGTGACTAGTTTAATCGTCGCCAAGTCCAGTTTCTGTGATTCGCGTTGATGCAAAAAGTGAAAAAAAAAAAAAAGAAACCGGTAGCAAGGTAGTAAGGATTTCTGATTTAAGAAGTTTGGAGTTTAAACGGGGGGACTGTCCCGTGGAAAAAAGAAAGCGAGCTTGGACAGGATGTCGTTACGGGCTGCAGGATAAGATTTCAGCGTTATTAAGATTCAAATATACCATCGCTGGGAACGAGAAACGAGAATTTACCTTGGATCGCGAGCGCTTGGACGTTGCGCTTTTTGAATCCGATTAAAACGTTATGGAAAGCAGAAGATAACAAATGGCTGGAAACCGAAGGGAATTTGTTACAGGTCGCAGACTCGGACTCCGGGAGTTTATAAATTATAAAATATAAACGCGAATATTCGAAAACCTACGGATCTTGGGACTTGAATACTCAATCGTTTGTCTACGAAAGGATTCGTAAATTCCACCCAACAGATGATTTTAGCTCATTCTTAACAAAGAAGGGGGAAAAAAAAAAGAGGAACGAGAATTTTCCACGGTGTCGTTTGACAACAACGGTGTCACAGTTCAACGAACTATGACGATGTTGTGTCACTCTAACAACGCACCAGCTTACGGGTGCGTGTAATTCGATCTCTTCCACGCTCGTTATTGGCTAACGATCGATAGTTGCGAACAATTAGAGTGAGAGTAAAGGGAGGCGAAGAATATCGACTGAATCGACCTCCCCATAACTTTTCTTCTTTTTCCATTTTTTTTTTTTTTTTTTTTTTTACGTGTCGACGCG